GGGTTTAAAGGCGGGACTAGGGATAACGAAGCCTTGGGTGTGATCTAAAGTGAGCTGTAATAAACAAAGTCAGCTAGCGTAACTCGGGAGAGTGCGTCTAGTAAATTATCGCGATTACTCGGGAGAGATTTACGGTAAAAAGAGTGCTCATGATTGATAGAGATATTTTGGTGAATCTATATGAAACATAACCGGAAGGGATTCCATCAATATGGGAAATCACTACCTTAGAACCTTCTCATTATTATTTACAACCCAGCATATTTAGTTTACAGTTGTTTATTTATTTACTTGCAATCTTAGTTAGTAGAAATACTATCAACTATTGTTTACAACGTTTGAGGAAGTTGATTATTGATCACGCCCAACTATGCCTTATAAAAAGGACTAAGCGGTCGCTGCAAATATAATCCGGTTTACAAGTCCGGAGTCGAATCCCACAGAGAACTAAGGTTTAGCTACAGTTGTTCACTATCACCAAGAAGACAAGCTTGAACAATTCCTAACTTATAGATATTAAGATTCTTGTGTTTAACTAATTAACTAACAAATTAAAATAGTAAATTAACAACTAACGATACTGAGGGTTAGAGAAAAGATTAAGGAGGTCTAGAGATATGATTTCCCCAATTGTCGGAATTCTTCCCGCTATGTCTTCTATAATTTCGCCTAAGTATTCTCTACCGATCATGAGCACTCTTATTACCGTAAATCTCTCCCGAGTAATTACGATAATTTGCTGGACGCACTCTCCCGAGCTACGCTAGCTGGCTTTTAATACAGCTCACTTCAGATCGCACCCAAGGCTTCGTTATCCCTAATCCCGCCTTTAAACCCTCGGTTATTGATCTCTCATATACTCTGGGAGTGGTGTTGTTCAACAATTACCTAAATATGTACTCTCTCCCGAGTTATGCATACTAAATAGGCACAACTAATTGAGAGCTCTTCAATCAACCAGAATATAAACGTAGTTGAACAAATAGAGAAAAGCTATGGCTCAATTATATAAAAGCATAACAAGAATTTATCCTACAAAAGGTTCTATCAAACTCTAGATAACAAATTAGCTATTCATAATAGTATGTAAAACTACAATACTAAAAGTCATAACCAAAAATGAAAAATAGGAAGAGGAAGGAAAAAACTCGTAGAAGAATTCTCCGCCTTGCTCCCAATGTGTTCTTGCCTCCAAGGGTGTTGTCTAACTCTAAAGGAGTGTCTCCTGCCTCCTTAGGTCTAATTTGTGTCCAAAATATGTCCCCTCTTCTTTAAAATAGGTTTAGGACCCCTTTTATACAAGTTGGAATAGTGTAGGGCCGAAATAAACTTGTCCCGGGCGAAATAGAACTTCTGGAGGGGCGCGGCCGCGGTCAAAACGCGGTAGGACCGCGGCCAGACAAGCTCTCTGATTTCTGCCGCGGTCGCGGTTTCAACCGCGTTTGTCACCCTGTTTCGTTTTGAATTTGGAAAAACGTAAAACATAAAAGTTGTAGCCCTTTGAATTAGCTTTCCAGCCATATATTGTGGAGCCCAAATGGAGTTCCGAGCAAAAAGTTATGTCTATTTTACTAGACAGTGCGCAATATGCCTCCTCAAGTCTTCGTTCGTACTTAATTATCAAATTTGACCCCCGAACACGATCCCGGCTTAATTCCTTGAGCTTTTACTCAGACTTCAAAGCTTCAAATCACTTAAATTCATTTCATAACACCTATATAGCTCGGAATGACACCTACAAGGCATAAAACACACAATTAGTGCAAAACACTAGCGATTAAAGCGCAAACTCAACTAAAGTGCAGTAAATTAGGGTGAAATAAGCGACTAAAATACGTAATTATAGCCTATCATCAACACCCCACACTTAAACCATTGCTCATCCTCGAGCAATCAAACTACACTTTTTTTATAGACACGACCTTTTTAAACAATTCTCCTAACTCATCACACCAAGAGTATTTAAAATAGACTAAGCACAAAAGCGTAACATCTTCACCTCAAGATTTGACTCACAAGTACCACACGTTATTCACAACTCACCCACTTACTCTAATATAGAGGTGACTAACATTACCTTTCCTTCATAAATCAAGTGCCCTCACACAACAAAAGAGAGTAGTTCCACACAATAAAATTTAAGAACACTTAGGAACTCAAGATAGAAAGAATTCACTCACTCTCAGAAATAACATTCATATGCCACAAAAGATGCACCATAAGCTTGCCCGTAGTGTACTACTCCACTAATCGAGCTCATTCAATCTTGGATCAATTAGGACTTTATTTGGTTGTAATGTAGGCTACGGGACGGGTAGGATACTATTAGATATAAGAGTGACTACACCTCCCTAAGCACTTTAATACATATACTTTAACATTCAAACCCCATACTTATGTCAAACCAAAACTCCACCTTCACATCAATGTATATTACCCCANCACACCGTTAGTGCAAAACACTAGCGATTAAAGCGCAAACTCAATTAAAGTGCAGTAAATTAGAGTGTAATAAGCGACTAAAATACGTAATTATAGCCTATCATCAAGCATCAACAAAATCACAGGTGTCTTGTTTAGTCAATTTCATCTTCTCTTGAACATGGCTGATGATATGCTATAATTACGTATTTTAGTCGTTTATTACACTCTAATTTACTGCACTTTAATTGAGTTTGCACTTTAATCGCTAGTGTTTTGCACTAACGATGTGTTTTATGCCTTGTAGGAGTGATTCCGAGATATATAGATGTTATAGAATGAACTCAAGTGATTTGGAGCTTTGAAGTCTGAGTAAAAGCCCAAGGAATTAAGTCGGGATCGTATTCGGGGATCAACGGATGATAAAACAACAAAACGAAGACTCGAGTAGGCATATTGCGCACTGTCTAGTAAAATGCACATAACTTTTTTCTAAGAACTCCATTTGGGCTCCACAATTTATGGTTGGAAAGCTACCTCAAAGGACTACAACTTTCATGTTTTACGTTTTTCCAAATTCCAAACAGAACAGGGTCAAAAACGTGATTGAAACTGCGACTGCGGACCTGACGCGGCAGAACACTGCTGCAGATTCTGAAGGCCACTCTGGCCGCGGTCCTGGCGTAACCGCGGTAGGACCGCGGCAGGACGCGTAAATTTCAGGGACTAAAGTGCAAAACACGGGATTTTAAGCCCTAAACCCTATATTAAACGAAGGAAGCCAGCCAAGAAAGGGGAGAATGATTTTTGGAAGTGAAAAGCATCAGAAGGAAGGGCAAGAGGCAAGGAGGATCGTTGGGCATCAATCTTTAATCTTCTTCTTTGTTCTTTTACCTTTGAATATGAGTTCTTTTGTGATTTTTATTATTTTCATGAGTAGCTAACTTTTCTAATCTATGATTTTGGTGAAACTCGTTGGGGATGAATCGGTTGTTATAAGTAATATAGATTTGAATTAGTTTAATCTCTATTTGTTCAACTATGTTTTGATTGTGGTTAATTGAAAGGATCCTCAATTAGCCGTTCCTATTTATTATGTATCTTCTTGAGAGAGAGTGCATATTTAGGTAGTTGTTTGAACAACATCACTCCCGAAGTATAGGCGAGAGTCATAACCGAGAGTTTAGAGGTTGGATTAGAGATAACGATACCTCGGGTGCGATCTAAGTGAACTGTAATGCGAATCTAGCTAGCGTAGCTTGAGAGAGTACGTCTAGTAAATTATCATAATTGTTTGAGAGGGATTTATGATAGCTGGAGAGTTCATGATTGATAGAGGCAACTAAGTCAATGCTATAAGAAACATACAACCAAGGAAATCAACAACGGGGGAAACCATTACCTTAGACCTTTATTCTAATTGTTTACAATTCAAGCATAGTTAGTTTTCAGCTGTTTATTTATTTTCAATCTTGTCTTCTTGGTGATATTAAACATATACAGCTAAGCCTTAGTTCTCTGTGGGATTCGACTCCGGGCTTTTAGACCGGATTATATTTGCAGCGACCGCTTATCCTTTTTAGGACTAGAGTTGGGCGTAATCAATAATTAAGATCAACGTTCAAAATACAGCAATGTCGATTAATTACGCTAATCTATCTAAGTTTTGATGACAAAGTCATTGAATACACGTGCCTATGAGAAATAACATGTCATTAGTAGATTAATCGAGGTGAGTATAACTGTATAAGTTGACCAAAAATCACCATTATGACACACTAACAAATTAATCAAATCTTAATTGAACATTGTGTTAAAAAATTAAAAAAAAAATACAATTATTTAATTATTAAATAAGGAATCTCTGTATAGACTATGTAGCTCCTCCACATAACGATACATTAAAAGCCTTGCATGTAAAGAAATGCCTCAAAGCGTGCGCCATATTTTAATAAACTTAAATTATGGGGCACATAATTTATCTTATTAGTTATACATCTTCAATTGATTCAAATATTCCCTAGAATTAAGACTTCTCCCATGTGCATTAAGGTTTAGCTCAACTTCTACTTATTTGTTAATTACTTTGCTATGTGTTCATATCAAGTGTTTGTAAATATCAGGTTTCCATTATCTTCATCTTAAGACTTGAGAAAGACAGCTCCATTATTAAATGAACTAGTTTTATGGTATGTGCGTTGCGTGTGTACCTCATGTTAATGAGTATAAAGATTTTTTTTAAAATATAAATATTATTAAAAAAAATATGGTTGAGCTATAAATTAAAATTGAAGGAAAACTGTAAATTTTAAAAAAATAATAAAATAATCCTATTCAAAAAAGGAAAAAAAAAACACGGATAGAAATTCGCTATTTTCTGACTACATATTTCATTCGCAATTTTTCCGGCTAGTGTTGTCGGAATATTAAAGAAATTATCATTTTTAACTTATTTTCTATTTTTCGACTACTCTTTCAATTGCAATAGTCAGAATATTCGCGCAAAATTTCGCGCGTATTTTGACCAAATTGGCCACTACAGTAGAAGACTAAAAAAATAATCAAATAAAATAATGAAATTTCCGACCACAATAGTTGGAAATAAGTTAATCTTTGACCATTTTTTCGGCTACAACAGTCGAAATTTTAAAAGATAAATAATTAAAAATTTTAATGTCCGACTACCGTAGTCGGACAATAAACAGATCTAACTGTACATTGCCCCATATTATTTCGGTCTCTCTCTCTCTCCCTCTCTACACGATCTCCCCCTCAGCGGCAGCAACCCCTTAATTTAGCTGCTATTTCCAGCGGTATGTTCTCCTTCTCTCTTTCTCTCTCTGTCTATTTCTTCGACTAAGATATCCTAGAGTTTCGTTTTCTATATATAAAAATTTCTTTGGCGGCTTGGGATTAATGTATAGTTCACTGATTGGGATGATGGTTTGTAAAAATTTATTGATGTTTCGGATTTTTATTCTCTTTTAATATAGAGGAGGAAGGCAGAATCTTATTGCAGCTCAGGGAGAAGACTCGTATTGGTTGATTGAATTGTTTGTGCTCTTGGGCCAGAGAATTATGCTCTTAATATAGATTGGTTGGTTGAATTAGTTGTTTATTGTAGGGAAATTACCGGCTATGTCCATTTATAGGTAGCTCATTATAAAAATTGGCCAATTGATAAAATATTATTAATATTAGCCAAATTAGCCAATTAGCTATTTGTAGCAAAAAAATATCAAATCTTTGTTTTGTTTTGAGTGGGTGTTATTAGAATAGATTGAGCACAACTTAAGGAGCTTGAATCTCAATTTTGGGATGATTTGGTGAAGTTTTGAGGTGGTTTAAATTGAAAATTCGAAGTAAAAGCTTAACATGAAAAAAATGATATGTGTTTCACACTGTGTATCATTTGTGTATCACATATGTATCATATTTGTATCAATTGTGTATCACATGTATATCCATGTATACCTGTGTGTGAGATACATGCATGATACATGTGTCGCAGAAGACTTTTTTGAACTCGATTTAATTATGAATTTTGATACATCGAACTTGACGAGATTTTATCATCTCTGGACAAAAATTGCAACCTTGCGACAAATTACAAACTCTGCAACTAGCTATTACTCGAAGATGAAGGATTTATGTGATGAACAAGATATGTTGGCTCCTCCACCTTCCTGTAATTACGAAGAGTCTAGATCATATGTTGAACATCTAAAATCACGTCTGTTGCAATTTTTTATGGGGTTAAATGAAGCTACAACAATGTGAGAAGTAACCTCTTGGCTAGGAGACCAGTAGATAAAAATGTTAATCGGGTCAAGCCGGGCCGACCCACTAACAATCCCCGTTCGACCCGGGTTAGCCCGATCCGGTAAGGGGTGGGATGGTTTGGCTAGGGTAGGAGGTTGTGCCAGACGGGGTCGGGCCTTTTTTGACTACCGGTGCACCGGAACATGGCTAGCCCGGTAACCCGTTTAAGGGTTTTAAACGTGTTCCAGCCCGGTTTAAGTTGTAATTTTTTTTTAAAAAATTCTGACCGTTGCCAACAGTCAAAATAAAAAATGACCATTGAGCAATGGCCATTTTTTTCACTTTTAGCCATTTCGGCATATCCTCTTACTAAAATAGCCCATCGACCCTTAATAATTGATAGATTACATTTTTATCCTTTTAAAAACTATAAATAGCTCGCCTCTTCTTTATTTTTTTCTCTACTCTGATTCTCTCTCAATTCCCTCATGATTATTGAATTGCTTATTGCTCTCAAGTTCTCAAATTATTAATATTTCAAGTTGTAACGACCCGACTGATCGTTTCGAGTATTATAACCCCGTTTCCCCATTTATTGCTTATTCTATGTTCATTTTTTGTTATATGACTTGGGGTGCGATTCGTGTTTTTGTTATTATTTGATGTGATTTGAGGCCTCAACTAAGTTCCTATGATGTTTATGATGGGTTGGTATGTTTGGATGGGGTCCCGGGGGCCTCGGGGATGATTCAGATGGAAATTGGAATGAGTTTGGACTTGAGGAATTTCTGAAGTGCACCAAGTCAGGTGCGATAGCACATGCGAAAGATTTAGTCGCATAGGTGTGTTTGGCATCGCATGTGCGGAATTTTGATGGGCTGAAAGGATGTGCAGGTGCGAGCTTTTGGCCGCACCTGCGAGGCCACAGATGCGGAAAGGAGGTCGCAGAAGCGGAAGAAAGACTTGTAGGGCAGGTCCGCAGAAGCGGTGAGGTTTGTGCATGAGCGGTCCCGTAAGTGCGAGGAGGGGACCGCAGGTGTGGCTGGTCGGGTGTCTAGTGTTCTTCGTAGAAGTGGACGCGCGACCATAGAAGCGGTTCCGATATTGCGGTTTCGCTAGTAGAAGTGATATAAATGAGGGTTAGAGTAATTTCTTCATTTTTGAACTTTGAAAGCTCGGATTGAGGCGATTTTTGAATGAGTTTTCACTAGATTTCACGAAGTATGCAACTTTTGGTCGTTCTTATCTATTAATATTGAATACATGTTGAATTTCCCCCATAGATTTGGTATTTTTGAGGTGAAAATTTAGGAATTTTCGACCCATGTATTGGACAGTAATAATTGGAGATTTGAGTGACGATTTAATCTCAAAATTGGGTAATTTTGGTACGGTTGGACTCAACTTTTGTTAAATTCCGAGACATAGGCCCGGGGTTGACTTTTTAGTTGACTTTTTGACTTTTGTTAAAGAACTTAGCTTTATCATATGGAATTGATTCCTATAGCTTGTGTTGATTGTATCAAACTGTTTGTGGCTAGATTCGATTCGTCCAGATGCCGATTCACGAGGAAAGGGCTTGTTGGAGTAGAGATTTGTACGGTTTGAGGTAAGTAACACTTCTAAACTTGGTTAGGGTATGAATCCCTAAAATACGTGTTATGTGGTCGGTGTTAAGGTGGCGCACATGCTAGGTGACGGGCGTATGGGCGTGCACGTAGTAATTGTGACTCGGTTGATTTCGTGGAATTGTGTAGTCATCTAATCTTGTTATTATTCATGTAATCTCCATGTGTTAGAGGAATCGAGCTATGATTCATGTTAGAAATTATATTTAGGCTATATGCTAGTACTGTTGGGACCCACAAAGGTCGCTTTGTTGTTGAATTATATGCTAATTTGCAATCACGTACTCAGTCACATCTATCCTTTGCATATCATATCTTTGTCTCTATTGCCATTATTATTGCACCATATTATCATTGTTTGGGTTGATTGTTATGAGATTTTGTGAGCCGGAGAGACTAGAGGAATTGATGACTAAGTGAGGCCGAGGGCTTGATTGTGATTGATATTTATGGGATCGGGCTGCACACCACAACATTCTTTTATCTATTCAAGCCATGATTGGCTTATATATTAGTGCTTGGGCAGTATCCGCCCCTTCGGAGTCTGACATACCAGTAGTGAGCGCAGGTACCTACTAAGTGCGAGTGCCAAGTGATTGAGAGTACTGAGTGACTGGAAGTACTAAGTGACTGAGAATTCTGAGTGACTAGGAGGACTGAGTGACTGAGAGGACTGAGTGACTGGGAGGACTGAGTGATTGAGCATGCTAAGTGAGATTAAATACTCCGAGAGTATGCATATGACGTTATCACTGTTTTGCATTATTCATAATTGACATGTAGATATAGTGATGTATCATTCATCATATCAGTCACACTTGGTATTATTTTTCCGTGTTGCCTTAAACTGTTAAACTTGAAAGCTTGTCTATATTTTTGTACATTTAAAATCTGTATTTGGACTGTACTTGTTTGAGCTCGTCACTGCTTTCAGCCTAAGGTTAGTCTTGTTACTTATTATGTATATTGGGTCGGTTGTACTCATACTACACTCTGCACTTTGTGTGCAGATCTAGGTACTTCTGGGTACGATGGTTGCTAGCTTTGGAGCTTTTTCTGTTTGGAGACTATTGAGGTAGCTGCCTTGGCATCCGCAGACCTCGACTTTAATTCTTTTCAGTTCATTTGTACTATTCTATCTTTCTAGACAGTTGTTTTAGTAGTTAGATTGTATTGTCAGATATATGCTCATGCACTTTGTGACACTGGATTTTGGGGAATTTTGTATTAAGTCGCGATACTTTTTTATAAGTTATTTATGACATTTTCACTATTTAATATTATTATTTCAGTATGTTTTAAATTGAAAGTTGCATGGTTATTTGTGAATTGTCGGCTTGCCTAGTATTGCAATAGGCGCCATCACGACATGTGAGATTTTGGGTCCTGACAAGTTAGTATCAGAGCCTAGGTTACATAGGTCTCACGAGTCATGAGCAGGTTTAGTAGAGTCTTGCGAATCGGCACTGAGATGTCTGTACTTATCTTTGAGAGGCTGTCGAACTATTAGGAAAACTTTACTTTCTTGTATTCTTGTCGTGCGAATTTGTTGATTCCGGAAACTAAACTTTCTGTTATTCTATTCTCTCACGGATGGTGAGGAAACGTGCTACCGGACCGGGCGGACGGCCACTAATACCACCAGCTAGGACCATGAGAGGCCGGGGCCGTATTAGAGGCCGAGGTGCGGCTCGTACAACAGCTAGAGCAGCACTTGTAGAACCACCAGTTACTCCAGCTCAGGAGGAAATTCCAGATGTGGTTGAGCCGGCGGGACCAGCTCAGGCACCAGCTATGCCCATTGTGATTCCAGGCCTTGATGAGGCTCTGGCCCAGATATTGAGTGTATGCACTAGCCTTGATCAGGCAGTTTCAGTTAGAGCCGCACAAGCCACTTCTCAGGCTGGAGAAGGTGCTCAGACTCCCGCTGCCCGTACTCCAGAGCAGGTGGTGTAGGGACTTCAGATACTAGGGGTACTACCAGCCCAGCCGGCTATAGCTGCTCAGGCCCAAGTGGGTCCACCGATGAGTGAAGAGGAGTAGAAGAGTCAAGAGAGATTTGGGAGGCTCAAGCCCCATCATTCAGTGGGGCTGAGTCAAAGGATGCTTAGGACTTCTTGGATAGGTGCCAGCAGATTCTTCGCACGACGGGTATTCTAGATACTAATGGGGGTCTCATTTACTACTTTTCAGCTGTTGGGGGCAACCTTCAGATGGTGGGAGGCCTATGAGTGAAGAAGGCCAGCCGATGTTGCACCAGTTACATGGAACGAGTTCTCCATTCTCTTCTTGGAGAAGTTTGTACCACGACCCGCAAGGAGGAGTTGGTAGGAATTTTGAGCAGCTACGCTATGATGGTATATTCATGACCCAATACGAGATGAGATTTTCAGAGTTGGCTCATCACGCGATCTGGTTAGTTCCCATAGAGAGGGAGAGGATTAGGAGGTTCATTGATGGCCTCAATTATGGACTGCCTTTTGTTATGACTCGGGAGATTGCATCAGGTGCTAGGTTCGATGAGATGGTCGATATTGCTAGAAGGCTAGAGTAGGTTCGTAGTCAGGAGCGTGAGGAGAGGGAGGCCAAGAGGACTCGTGGTTTGAGTGGTTTCAGAAGTGTTTCTTCGGGGGAGCAGTCCTATCACTGTAGGGGTTGTCCTTATAGGCCCGCTCAGATGGCTCCACCAGTTCATCGTGGTACATCAGCTAGCCATGGTTCATACAGTGCTCGTTCGGTCAGTCATCTCTCAGTGCCCTCCCAGCTCAGAGTTCATCTCGTGATCCATCAATTCAGGGCTCATCTGAGCCAGGCTCTTCTAGTAGTTATTTTGGTTCTCGGGGTCCGATTCAGTCACCATCGGGGAGTTGCTTCAAATGCGGGGAGTTTGGAGGGGGAGGCCGATTAGGTGGCGGTCAAGCTCGATGCTATGCTTTCCCTGCCAGGACAGAGGCTGTTACTTTAGACGCAGTGATCACAGGTATTATCTCAGTATTCCACATGGATGTCTATATTGTTTGACCCTGGTTCCACTTATTCGTATGTATCATCATATCTTGCTCGTTATCTGGATATGCCCCGTGAGTCCTTAATTTCTTCTATTTATGTATCTATGCCGATAGGCGATTCTATTGTTGTGGACCGTATGTATCGATCAAGTGTGGTGTCTATTAGAGGATTGGAGACCAGAGTTGATCTCTTATTTCTTAGTATGGTTGATTTTGACGTGATTCTGGCTATGGATTGGATGTCTCCATGTCATTCTACTCTAGATTTTCACGCTAAGACCGTGATATTGGCGATGTCGGGTTTACCTAGGATTGAGTGGAGATGTACTCCTACTACTGATTTTGGTTCGGTAGTGCTAGACTTTCCGGATGTGTTTCCTGCAGACTTGCCGGGCATGCCACCCGACAGGGATATTGATTTTGGTATTGACTTTGTGACGAACACTCAGCCCATTTCTATTCCTCCGTACCATATGGCACCAACAGAGTTGTAAGAATTGAAAGAGCAGCTTCAGGAGCTTCTTGATAAGGGGTTCATTAGGCCTAGTGTATCGCCTTGGGGTGCACCGGTTCTGTTTGTGAAGAAGAAGGATGGTAATATGCGTATGTGCATTGACTACAGGCAATTGAACAACGTTACAATTAAGAACAAATATCATTTGCCACGTATTGATGAATTATTTTACCAGCTTCAGAGAGCTAGGGTGTTCTCCAAGATTGATTTGAGGTCTGGGTATCACTAGTTGAAGATTCGCGACTCAAATACTCTGAAGACGACATTCAGGACCCACTATGGTCACTATAAGTTCCTCGTGATATCTTTTGGACTGACCAACGCCCCAGCAACATTCATGCATATGATGAACAATGTATTTCAGCCATATCTTGATTCGTTTGTCATAGTATTTATTGATGATATCCTGGTGTACTCATGTATCCAGGAAGAGCATGCACAACATCTAAGTATTGTACTACAGAGGTTGAGGGAGAAGAAGCTTAATGCCAAGTTCTCCAAGTCTGAGTTTTAGATCAGTTCGGTGGCGTTCTTGGGGAACGTGGTGTCCAGTGAGGGGATCAAAGTAGATATAAAGAAGATAGAGGTAGTTCAGAGTTGGCCCAGATCGTCGTCAGCTACTGAGATTCGGAGTTTTCTCGGCTTGGCTAAATATTATCGTTGCTTCGTGGAGGGTTTCTCGTCTATTACAGTGCCTTTGACCAGGTTGACCCAGAAGGGTGCTCCATTCAGGTGGCCGGATGAGTGTGAGGAGGGCTTCAGAAGCTCATGACTCCCTTGACCACAACTCTATTTCTAGTCTTGCTTCAACATCGGGTTCTTACAAAGTATTATGATGCTTCTCGGATTAGTATTGGGTGTATCTTGATGTAGGAGGGTAGAGTGATTGCTTATGCTTCACGCCAGTTGAAGCCCCATGAGACGAACTACCCTGTTCATGATTTGGAGTTGGTAGCCATCGTTCATGCATTAAGATTTGGAGGCATTATCTCTACGATGTGTCTTGTGAGGTATTTATAGATCATCGGAGTCTCCAGCACTTGTTCAAGCAACATGATAAATTTGAGGCAGCGGAGATGGTTGGAGCTGCGAAAGTACTATGATATCACCATTATGTATCATCCTGGGAAGGCCAATGTGGTGACCGATGCCTTGAGTAGAAAGGTAGTGAGTATGGGTAGACTTGCATTTTTTCCTGTTAGTGAGAGACCGCTTGCATCAGATGTTCAAGCCTTGTCCTATCAGTTTGTGAGGTTAGATGTTACGGAGCCTAGTCGGGTTCTAGCTTATGTGGTTTCTCGGTCTTCCTTGTATGAGCGCATCAGAGAGTGTTAGTATGATGACCCTTATTTGCTTGTCCTTAAAGACACGGTTCATCATAGTGATGCAAAGGAGATTTCTATTGGGCATGATGGGGTGTTGCGGATGCAGGGTCAGATTTGTGTGCCCAATGTAGATGGGTTACGTGAGTTGATTCTTGAAGAGGCCCACAGTTTGCGATATTCATTCATTTGGGTGCCGCAAAGATGTATCAAGACTTGAGGCAACACTATTGGTGGAGGAGGATGAAGAAAGACATAGTGGAGTTTGTAGCTCGGTGTTTGAATTGTCAGCATGTGAAGTATGAGCATCAGAGGCCAGGAGGTTTGCTTCAGAGGCTTGATATTTCGGAGTGAAAATGGGAGTGTATCACCATGGACTTTGTAGTTGGGCTCCCACGGACTTTGAAGAAGCTTCATGCTATTTGGGTGATTGTGGACTGGTTGACTTAGTCTGCGCATTTCATTCTAGTTGGGACTACATATTCTTCAGAGTAGTTGGCTGAGATTTATATCCGCAAGATTATTCGCCTTCACGGTGTGCCAGTGTCCATTATTTCAGATCGGGGCACATAGTTCACATTGCAGTTTTAGAGAGCGGTGCATCGAGAGTTAGGCACACGGGATGAGTTGAGTACAACATTCCACCCTCAGATGGACGGACAGTCAGAGCACACTATTTAGATATTGGAGGATATGCTATGCGCTTGTGTCATGGATTTCGAGGGTTCTTGGGATCAGTTTTTGCTACTTGCAGAGTTTGCCTACAATAACAACTACCAATCGAGTATTTAGATGACTGTGTATGAGGCTTTGTATGGGAGATGGTGTTGGTCTCCAGTTGGTTGGTTTGAGCCGGGTGGGTCTAGGCTATTAGCTACTACTTGGTTCAGGATGCTTTGGACAAGGTTAAGTTGATTTAGGATCGGCTTCGCACGGCACAATCTAGATAGAAGAGTTACGCCGATCGGAAGGTTCGTGATGTTTCTTACATGGTGGGAGAGAAGGTATTGGTCAAAGTTTCACCAATGAAGGGTGTTATGAGGTTCGGGAAGAAGGGCAAGTTGAGCCCTCAGTATATTGGCCAGTTTGAGGTGCTTGAGAGGATTGGGGAGGTGGCGTACAAGCTTGCATTGCCGCCTAGTCTATCGGGTGTTCATCCAGTGTTTCATGTCTCCATGCTCCGAAAGTATTTTGGCGATCCCTCTCATATTTGGGCTTCGGCACGATTCAATTAGATGGGATTTGACTTATGATGTGGAGCCGGTGGCCATTTTGGATCGTCAGGTTCGAAAATTGAGGTCAAAGAATATAGTTTCAGTGAAGGTGTAGTGGAGAGGTTAGCCAGTCGAGGAGGCTACTTGGGAGATCGAGCGGGAGATGTGGAGCGGATATCCACACCTATTTGAGACTCCAAGTATGATTCTAGACCAGTTCAAGGATGA